AGGGTTTAGGGTTTAGGGTTTGGGTTTCGGGTTTAAGGTTTGGGTCTAAGGTTTTGGGTTTAGGGTTTAGGTTCATCGGGGGGATAACTGGGGTTACTATATGCGTCATAAGGACTTTTAACCTACTTACTACGTCCCCCTGGCCCTCCAAGTACTACTGCACCTAAGCCTGAAACTTAGTTCCTTCTGACTTGTCATGACGTTCCCAAAGACTCATACGGTCCCAGAGGGTATATACAGTATCTACTTAGGCCCAAAAGGGATTCCCACATAATTCCTTTATCGCCTAGGTATATACTATATAGCTACATGGACCATTTGGGAGTACTATCTGGACAGGACGACCGAACCATCCCGCTTGTGGTCCTAAACAAGCTTTAGGGCAACTGCCTTGTGAAGCCAAGCTCCTGCTAAACCCCCAAACTCCTGTTCTCAAAATGATTTCCCCGACGGTTTCCCTTGTGCATCTACAGAAGCCCCAAACATGCTTCCCTGAACAACCTTTAGATCAACCCTACTGTAACCATAAACCCAACGCCCCAAGTGCTTAACCGTCAGCCCGTTTAAACCCTAATTCCCAAAACTCCTCCCAAAACCCTAAGCCCTAAACCCTAATCCCAAAAATCCTCCCAAAACCCCAAGCCCGAAACCCTACTCCCAAACCCAAAACCAAGGAAAACTTTGGGTCACCCTAGACCCTAAACCCTAAACCCTGAATATCCCGATCTTATGCATGAGATCACGGCATTGAAGCTGCCTTGCCAATGCCACGTGTGGCTCCCGAGATGATGGCAACCTACCGTGCCACAATTCCAAAGGTTTAGGGTTTAGGGTTTAGGGTTTTGGGGTTTTGGGGTTTAGGGCTTAGGGTCTTGGCTTTAGGGTGGGTTTAGGATGGTTCAGGGCAAAGGGTCTAGGGTTTAGGCTTTGGGGATTCTGGCAATGAAGACTTTTCTTGGCGCTTTAACAGGTGTTTAGGGACATCTAGGGTTTAAGAATGTGGTTGAGGGTGTCTGGAAATGGGTGGTATGTCTATATAGTACATCTTGAGATATGGACGGCAAGAGAAAAATGATAAGAGTTTCCTGTACGCTTCGTCAAACGACGATGCGTTGGGCATATCGCGGCTCAACGGCCCCTAGGGCGGCGACGTGGAGAGATAGAAGCCCAAAAGATGCAAGGACCTTGCACTTCAGGATCTATCAGCAACTCAGCCCTGAGGGTCCAAGGGCCAAAACATTGCCATCTTAAATCCCCAAGACCGCTCAGATTGTATAAATTGGGCCCCGAAACCCCATCACTTGTGTCATTAGACCTTTAAGCTTCGTCATGCACAGATATGCTCCGCAATCACTCAGAGGACATCCTTGCCTAATGCCTTGAAATGGAGATCGCGTGCAGTCCCTGTCAAGCCAATTTTGAATCTGACGCCCCTGCATCAAATGTGCAAGACATGTTCCTTCCAGCCATAAGAAGGATCTAAACAAGTGAAGATTATCAATCACAGGGTTGCCAAATGTTAGGAATTATAGGGCTCTGGGATTTGGAGCGTTTATGAAGCAATGTGAACATGTGACCATGCCCCCAAGCCCTGAACCACCACCTCATTTCTAGACATCATTGAGTCCATAAATCGTGAATTCCCGATAAGGCTCTTACCACAAAGCCCAAAAAGACTTAGTGACTACTTGTGACTGAGGTTCTAAGCTTTATAGAGCAACTTGCTAAAGTTCAGTTCAGGGGTTTAGGGTTTGGGGTAAACCCTAAACCCTAAACCCTAAAACCCTAAACCCTAAACCCTAAACCCTAAAACCCTAAACCCTAAACCCTTAAGGGTTTAGGGTTAGGGGGGAGGTAACGCCTGAACCTAAAAATTCCCCAAGACGCCCGCCTTCCCTCGCAAGTCTGCGATTTGAAGCTTTGGGCCTTGTCTTCAAGGAAGTCATAAACAACATGGGCGTTGCTCAAAAAGGGGTTTAGGTTTAGGTTTAGGGCTTAGGGTTTCTCAAAAAGGGTGGCATAGGAACAATATACGCGTATGTAGGGGTACCGAGGCCGATGCAGGGGTATATGGGGGCCAGGGTTAGGGCTTTTAGGGAGTAACGGCTGGGTAGGCATTTTAAGTAGCACTGGCGTGTCTCAAAAATTGGGTATTTCCTAGGTACATATATGATGGAGCGCCAAATCTATTTTGAATGGTAACTACAAGGGACTTCAGAATGGATGTTACCTGCTTAGCAATATTCCCGATGGTTAGGGTTTAGGGTGTTTCCAATACTGAGATTTCCCTTCTAAACCACGATGCTCAAGTTCTTGTTGAAACACCCGACTCTCACCTTTTTCGGCACTGCCAAGTGACCCTACATGTTGCACCATAATAACGAATGCAACCCATACTCTAGCTTTCATCCCCACATACCCCCCCCCCCCAAGTTTCCCCAAGTCCCACCCCATTTTCTTGGGGTTGAAAAATGCAAAGTTTACGCTACCCACAATTCAAAATTCCAGGAAGAGAAGAACTAATAAACCCGCTTGCAGCAGCCCTACGATTGCATCCATGTTCGGCTACCCGTCGGGGCTGCCTGCACACTACCATGCTTTTCAAGGATCGTTGGGCTTGTTTGGGACTGACTTAGAACTTATACGGGCGTAGTAAGGAAGCATGGTTCCCGCCCGACTTTTCGCCCCTTTACAAAGCACCTACATAAGCAAAGTTGCAGTCACATCGTCCTCAGAACCATTAACGAAGAAACCTTGTACATCAGGTTTCAGGTTTCTCGCATTCTGGATCATACTGATGATGCTTGCTATGTGAGGTGACCTTGATGTCGATGAATCCTAAACCCATGTTCAGAATAACTCCTCCACATGCTCACCCTACCCAATAACCTCAACAATAGGCCCTGGCACCTATAAAAGGTACATGAGAACTTATCAAAACACACCCTGTAGAATCCTTCACTCCCGAGCGCACCCTTATTTACAAGCCTAAACCTAAACCCATTATAGTAGGTTCCATTTGCTTTTCCATTATCCCTATATTACATAATATTACCCCATATAACCCCCCTAAACCCTAAACCCTAAACCCTATTAATCCTTATATAACCCCTTTGTTCAGATTTCCCCGGGAGCCCTGCTCAGAGCTCCAGGGCTGGTCATGGTGTCCAAAAGGGAGGAGACCAAGTGCTACTTCCCAAGATGAGACACACAAAAGCAATCTCCTGCTGAAATCATGGTGCTCTATATACATATACACATATGCCCGTATGTGTTGACGTTTTCTGATACATGGATAGTTGTTGCTCGGTGTTGGCGTGTGAGCAATCAATGTTGTGCATATCCTTCGCTGAGGTGCTGGCTTTCTGACCTCTGGAGGAGCTTTTGAGCCAAGGTCAATATGATACAGTGTTGTGCCTGGCTGAACTATGTAAATTTAGGTTCTTCTTGGAGGGTACTACAGCCAACGGGAACAGGTAGTCTTACTCGAAATGGCGGACCTCCTAGAAGCAGGAGGAAACCAGCATAAACAACCAGCAGCGTACAATCCTGACACTTTGATCTCGAAAAGGACTCTGAATCTCGAGACTCCTTCATGTTCATGGCTATGCTTTGTGCTTGCATAATATTCCAAGGCCAAAGGGATACTATAGGCGTCAGGATGCAGCGCACATCCGCTGCCCGTCCCGGTTTGAAGCACGTGTGATGGTGAACAGTTCGCTGCCCAGGCTCTAGGCTGAATTTTGGATGAGATAGCTAAAGGGCTTACAGCGGATCATGCCTCTATACCCAAGCCCTGCGAATGGAACTACTTATCATCCCAGAGCAGCAGAGCCACAGGAAAGCTTTCATTGATGCATGTGGTGCAGTTGCGATCCTCCCTCGCGGGCAGGCTAAGGCCAATGAGCAAGAAAAAATGCCCGCAGTCAGTTCATACATCGTGGCCATAAATAATTGGTTTGGCTTCTGAAAGAAGGCACAGAAGGAGCTTCCAAACACGTCACTATAACTGTATATCTATCTACATGTACATGTGTACAAAGGAACCTCGTCCGTTGCGCGGATGTAATGGTATTCTGTTTGGCGGCACCTTCTCTTTTCAACCTGCCACATCTTGGACATCTGCTAGAATGAACTTGTGGTATTAGACCCAAGCCCAGCAATTCTGAAACAACATTCCAACTTAGGCCGAGGTGAACCTGCACGGAACCATGCGAATACAGCACTTATCCAGCGAGCTTGTCAATGTGCCCTTCCAGCATTCCTTTCAGCAGCTCCCCCACAGTGACCTGAGCTTAGGATCTAGGTTTTAAGACTTATATGAGCTATAGTCTAAACTCCTAGTATACCCCTTAATAACCCCTATAATCGTCCCCTATATAATCCCCTATATCACACCCCTTTAAGGAGTTCAGACTATAGTACATATAGGCTTGGGGATTACGTTAGTTGAAGATCTTAAAAAAAGTTGTACATAAAAAGCCCGCCGCAGGGGTACATTGGTTACTTTGATTCCCTAGGCCGTAGACCCTACACACTCAGTGGATCTACAGTACACCCCACCGTTTGTCTATCCTTAGGCTTACCAAGACGAATCATTCCATGATCCCAGATTTCCCTACAACAGAGGCCACTTTGAGAAAAATATCCAGCACAAAATCTCCTGAATCCTCACCTTCACTTTAGAAATCGTACCTGACCTATAACCCTAACTACTAACCATCCCCTATAATTGATGACAATACCTATATATATTTCAGTGAGTCTTTATCAGATTTCTCAGGACTGAACCCTGAACTTCCTGAATACTAAATCCAAATCCCATGCCCATGGATCTATGCTGCACCCACCATGGTCCGTCCTTTAGCCCTAAGGGTCCAATCCCGATATTCGCCCGAAACCTGTTCTATAATTACCACATCTCAACTACCTAATTTTTGGGTACTTGGTCGAAAAGAGTAGCTTTTTTTGCCTCAGATTTCTGCGCTGTGACTCCTCACACCTGGGCTACCGTCTGGTCGAGGCGGAGGGTGTCCGTCCGCCAAGAGAACCTGGGGCTGCGCGCTGCTTAAGGGGGTCTGTTTTGAGGCTTAGGATTTGGAGCGTAGGGATACTAGAGTTGAGTTAGCTTAGGGCTACGGATTTTGCGGATTAAGGTTCAGAGCTTTGTTTTTTTTTGTTTTTGGCTTAGCGCTTCCAAGTTAGTGCTTAGGCTTTGGTAGGGTTCATGGATTTGGGATTAGGGCAGCGGGCTTCTAGTCAAGAAGCTTGAGGATTCAGTTCCCCACTTCTAAAACCCTCAGGATCCGAATAGCCCAATGTAGACAACGTTCATTGACGTTAGGGCCCAATGTAGGTAACAATTATAGACTTTAGAGCCCCGTGTAGGTAACATTATATTTGCAGACTGTAGGGCCCAATGAAGGCACGATTATTCTACTTCGCGTCTCATTCGGGAAGATCTATCTGCAGTTGCGGAGAATAGGCTAGCTACCTTCACTCCAGCGGATTTGCTTGACATCCTGCACTTCTAATGCGCAATATGATCTCTGTGGGTATTTTTGTGGACGGTGCCTAATTCGCTTCTTTGACTTGCCTATGTAACCGCAGGGGTTGCTACTCAGGAAGGAGGAAGGAACGACATTGCAGAAATTGAGCACAGGATTTGTTCAAGTGCAGTAGAAGATCGAGTAGTGTAAGCCTGAAAAATTACCAACACCCTTGGCAGTCAATCTGGGGTCAGGTCCCTCTAATATAGTTTCAGAATAAACTTAGGACCATCGTACTTGTAATTATTCTGACTCCTACAAGAAGTGAGGATGATGTGGGAATCTAAAGACGTCTTTAAGCTCGGGTGCCCCGCCACCTCGTGCTACTTCTGCCCAAAACATAGGGATGACTTCCTGAGGCCCCAATACCCTTCTCTTCACCAAGCTAACATTGAAACCCATCATCTCGACCCCTTCAAAAGAGTTTTCATAGTATCCTGATTATATTGGGGCAAGGGGGCCCTTGCTTCCCAACGAATGGGCCTGAACTCTTATCCAGGCCTTCCAGTGTAACAACCTTGTGGGGTCCCAATAAGAACCATGACTGGTGATCCTTCGTCCTGACTAATGATCATAAGGGATAGTGGCAATTCTGCACCTCATATCCATGCAGATTCACGTTTATGCCACATGTAGTGGATGGAGGGACTGCCTGAATCACAACAAAGAGGCCGTACCAAACCCTAAACTCTATATAACCCCATAGAACCCCGACATACCCCTATATACCCTAACTTGAGTAACCCAAATGGTCCTACATTGAAGAGCTCAGGCAACCCTACACGCGAAACCTTTAACCATAAACAGGGGTTCAGGGCTTGGGAAACCCCCAACTCCAGAGATAGAGAGAAAGCCCTGGGTTGAGGGTTTAGGGTACTATAAACCCCAAACCCTAAATAGTAGTTTCCATTTTCTTTTCCATTATCCCAAATATATAACCCTAGTATATACTACAATATAGTGGTTCACCCCGAAGCACCTGCGGGGCCGCTTCTTTGCAAAAATGGGCCGAGAAGTCAGTAGATACGTTTGCATAAGCTCAGGAATGATAGGGTCCAGTGAGCTACAGTCTAAACTCATAGTATCCCTTACAAACACTAGAGCGCTCCCCTTCATAAGCCCCTATATAAACCCCTTTAGGAGTCCAGCTATAGCTCCAATACTGCCCAAGTAGGCTCGAGTCAAGTCAACTGACTGATGGTCCAAGAACCGAATCTATTGTCTATTGTCTAAAAGATGTCACTTTGGGCTCAGAATACCTAACTGGGCGCAAAAAGGGGCCGAACTACATCCTACCTGACTTCCTAGACCCATACATAGTGGACGATGTTCATCCTAAACCCTCGTACTCTGAGGCGGGCGGAGATCCCCATAACTATGCCCAAGTAGCCATTCAACACAACATGGGGCTTTTGAAGGAATTGTCAGGAGGTTTGCATATGTAGGGATATGTATGGGTTGGAGGCGGGGGAGTCGGAATTAGGCTTTCCAATGCAGGAATCCTATTAAGGGGTCCCCATAACAAGGATTAACGTGTTTGGCGGCGTATATAATGGGGACCCCTATTTTCAAACTCCAGCATGTGCAAGTATAGGCAGTAACATATTTTTGGAGAACACAACTCATGCAGGAAGCCGGTTGTAAAGAGACTCCCCTCCATGGAGCAGCCCAAAAACATATCATGAAACTAGTGAACGATAAGCAGAGACTTATGAATCAAAGAACCTACATCCCTGTCACAAACAAACTCTGAATCAAGGGATGAGGCCTGCATGTCCAAAGCAATCTTTATACATCGTCTTTATATAATGGCTACATCTTGCTGACGTGCTCGCCGCACAATCCTCAAGAATCCCTTGACACGGATTTACGCTCGGCAACCAATCGCAAAGCCTTGGGTTCGACGTTAGGTTGGCCTGGCAAGCAGAAGCTAAATCCTAAACCCGTTTAGGATCAGGTGTGATCAGGACCAAGGTTTGAAGTTTACAGTTCAGAACTGAAAAGTTGATGGAAAACACAAGGCTTCATTTTGGGCTTAGGTTTCGGTCTCCAAGAAGAGGTTGCACTACTGCTGACATCCTGGCCTTGAGGCAGATATTAAACAGGGAGCTAGTCTGTTTCAGGAGTATATTCTAACCCTGAGCCCTGAATCCTAAACCCAAACAACAATATTCTCGTTTTAAGGTTACGGGTTACAAATCTGCTTGGCTTCAGGTCTGAAGGATAGTGACTTGAGTAATGCTTAGGTTCGTTGCATAATGAAGGGGCCTTTGGATGTTCTGGTGAGATGTGTTCAGCTTGCAGGGTGGGGCGTTCAAGGTTAGCTCAGGATCAAGTCTGCGACCGGAAGTCATGATGAGTATGCGTCTGTGCTGGGAGACTTGCAAGACTTCAGGAGAGGCGGTGCAAAACTCAAGCTGCACAATCTTCTGTGCGTGTATGCAGACATAACTGATATGCACTCACCTGCCTTGATGTGACACATGCTGGCAGCCTAAAGACACTGCTTTCCGGGAAAATGCTTTCACACACATATTCATGTACATGCAGAGATATACGTGGATAGCTGTATGACATCTGGCGCTTAGCATATGAGGCCAACGTGGACTAGACAGTTCAGCTTCAGGGTCACCGTCGGAGTTTCTTGCAAGCCTCGGAACACACTCTTCCCATTTACGTAATTGCGCTCATTTCGTACATGACATTTTGAAGCTCTCATATATTATATGAGTTCTGTCAGCGTGCTTCCACAAATGGGTACTCTACAGACAAGTGATTTACACGTACTAGGTAGGCTTTTTCGTGATCCTGGCCCATGTCTGTCATACTCCTCCTGTCGCAGATAGAACATACATGGGGGCGCAGGCAAAACTATGGGCACTTCTCTGATGGCAGGACACTGGCAGTTTGAAGTAGTATTTAAGGGGCTTGTCGACATCCAGGGTACTGAAGGTTATGTCCGCAGAGAGCTCGTGGATCTATGGCAGTTCCCAAACAGAGGGAACCCAATATAGACCCCCCAAAATACGGTGGGCCTCACTCAAATGGCCTTGCCAGAAGGACTCCTGGAAAAGCGTAACCCTCATTTTGGGAAAATCTGCAGCCCACATTTTTGTTACAGATTATACTGCAGCACCTTGTGTTTTGTACCAAAATGGGACCCTGATTTTGGGAACTACCAAAATACCCTAAACCCTAAACCCTAATCCCCAAACCCTAAACCCTAAACCCTGAACCCTAAACCCTATACCCTAAACCCTGAAGCCTAAACCCTAAACCCTTTGGACCCTATACCCTAAACCCTATGGACCCTATACCCTAAACCCTAAACCCTATACCCTAAACCCTAAACCGTAGGGAGTGCCTTCTGGGCCATCGTCCAGCTGCATATCCACGGAGCGCTCCTGCCAACAGAGAGTCTGCATGCAGCCCCCTTTAATCGTGGCTGGTTTAGGGTTTAATTAGGGTTCAGGGTTTAGGGTCCAGGGCTTAGGGTTTAGGATTTCGGGTTTAGGGTTTACGTGGCTGCTTAGAAATCATGTGAGCCGAAGTATTAAGTCCGAGTATCCGCTGTAATCACCCCCTATAGTAGTCCCCTGTATAAGCCCTCATATAGCCACCTCTAAGGAGTTTAGACTACAACTCATGTAGTCCAGACAAGGCCTGACCCCTTTGCGCAAAGCCTACGGCCAAACGTCAACCCTAAACCCTACAAGCCTTATAAACTCTAAACCACCTGGAGGTGGCCGCAAAGAAGGCAACCCTATTTTCGGACCCTCGCCCTTTGAGACCTACATGAGCCATCGTCTAAACTCCTGGTATCCCGCTTCTAACCCCTACAATGCTCCCCTATGCAATCCCCTACCTATGAAGGACTCTAGACCTAATTAGGTGAGCCCAGTTTTCCTGTTATTTTCAAGTTGATTCTCCAATACGGGTAAGAAGTTAGGAGGACCCTCCCCCGCACTGTAATTATAATAGGAATACAAGAGGACCCCAGTATAATCCCTATGATCCCCTATAGTCACTATTACTGGGTGGGGGGTCCACCTAAGATATTGTACCCTAAACCCTATATCCTGAATCCTAAACCCTAAACCCCCCTAAACCCTAAACCCTAATTATGAGTAATAAGTATCAAGGCCAGGATCAGAAAGAGGGTCTTGCACTTCAAAAGGTGCCGCTTCTCAAGGGGCAAGGTCCAGTACTATGAGGATCCCTGGAATTAGGTAACACATGAAAACAAGGGTCTTGGGTATAGGGTCTGAGGTTTAGGGTTCAGGGTCTAAGGCTTAGGGTAGGGTTTGCGGTTCCTGGGGCTTGATGACTACCTATAACTGGGGTATAATCCTACGCATATTAGGACAACCCATACAAGTCCAGGTAGGGGGATTGCAACTAAGGTTACTTGTCATAAGCCCAGCGATTCCGTAGTCTATCCCATTGACACGCGCTATGCAACCTTATTGCAACCCTTGATTTGAGCATGTTTTCAGGTGCAGAATTACCAGGTGGGTATCCTTACGTAGGGCTGGTATAAGGCTCATATTATGGGGAGACTAGCAGGCACACGAGGGCTACGCAAGGGTTACATGGGGGGGGAAAGTACACGCCATTGATAAGAAGGATAGGTTTCCTAACCCCTTGGCAACCCCGAGGTCCCACAACGTAGACATGACCTTCCGGGATAGGGCCAGAGGTAAGCCCCATTAAACCGCAAAAGTAATAAACTTAATCATGGTAATGGTAATAGTACTAAACAGCCTGATAGTAATGCTAGAAGTGGTACATAATAACAGCCTGATATTAATGCTAGTAATGATACAAGTAGCCAGTCGGGTAATAATCAAGGCAATTGCAATAACAGTTGTTCCGGCAAGGTATAGTTGTAGTTGAGGTATACTAAAGCCTGCGGTCTACATGGGAGCTTAAATTTGACAACATGCTGGTGTCTGAATTACTACTTCGTCTTAGCTGCTGTGAAGACAGAAGAAGTAAGACTCAAGTAATTGCAATCTTGGGTACTGCCCCCACCCAGTAACAGTTGGATGATAAATATAATATGGCTACATATAGCCCTTAATAGGACCCCTAATATAGACTGTTACTGGGTGGGGGCAGTACCGAAGTGCAATCATAGAACTTGTAGCTGGGCTTGGAATCCCAGGCTATAATGACATTGCCGCCCTGAGGTGCTGAAGTTATATAGGTTTGGTGTAACTTACCATAACACAGATAGGAAATAGTAAGTCTTTGTGCTGCAACTGAACCCTAAACCCTAAACCCTCAACAGCAATGCAATTGTCAACCCTTCCTTCTGTTGGTTTGTCGCTACAAGAACTACTGAACTCAACACTTTGCGTCCATATCAGGTATATGACCCCAACCCTGAAACCCTGAACCCCTAAACCCTAAAACCCAGATCATGGATTTTGGCGGCCTGTGCGACGCAGCGGAAGGGTCTCACAACACCAGGACGTGCGGGATTGGCCTTTAAAAGTTGGAGCCATGCTGGGCTCGCAGGGGCAGGTTGGAGCAGGTTTGCCGCTTACTTACTGTGGGGTAGTAGGGTGTAAAGGACTATATGATATACGGATCGTATACGGATATTGAGGTTATATATACATATGTATATATATATATATGTGTATTCTAGTCTCTCAATTGCTATGCGGCACTTAGGACCCCTACTAGGGCAAACCCCTTAGGTACCTATGATAGGAATGTAAGGGAATCTGAAAGGGTTGAAGGCCTCAGGTCCAAGCTAAGTCCCAAGAAGATTCACTAGCTTTGAGATGCCCAGCGCAAATTGGCAAGGAGGGCTATTGAGTCTATGTTTTCTCAGTTTTGTAGAATGCGGGGTTTAGGGCATATGAGGAGTACGTGGTTCCGATCTAGGATGTAGGGTTTGTAAGCTTAAGTTTTTGTCGATGAAGGTCTGACATTGAATCGCTTGGTCATGACGGGTGAAAAGGTAGCCAAGCAGCGCCGTGAAATTTTTCGGTACTTGGAAGAACAATCAAGCTTTTTGACTAGAACCACTTACTTAGCAGGTTTGTCAGACTCGCGCAAATTTAGGCGACACCTGGCTAATGAGCGGAATTTGCAGGCGTAAAAGGCAGACCCTGAATCCTTCTTTGACGAGCTTGCATATGCGGCTGTTTACTTGAGCTGCAGGGTTTGGGGTTTGGGGTTTAGGGTTTCGCGGGTGCCTGTGTTTCACTTCATGGAGATGTTTCCCAGGCAATGAAGGGGTATCGATTTTGGGACTTGGGGTCTGGTTTCAGTGTTTCGGATAAAGGCCTTCAAGCGTGCAGCAGTTATCCGGACGAAGTTGGGTGAAGGGTTACATTGAAGACTGGTGTTTTGCACGTACAGCGGTCGTAAAAGCGGCAGGAGCAACACTCTGAAGCCCTGAACCAATTCAACGCATATGACTCCCTGAAACCATATCAAACCCCCAAAAAGGACCAGTAGCAACAGCAGGAAAAGATGCAACGTAGCCTACAGCAAAATGGAATGGCTTCAACTGATGGGAAGTTGGGTCTAGGGCTTAATCTTCAGGGGTTGGACAGTGGGACCAAGTAAGGTTGGATAGTTCTGATAAACACCTGTTTAAAGGAGAATATCATTTCTACTCTGTATGGAGGACTATAGTAGCCCTACCTGAGCTATTCAACATTTTCTGCGACAAAGCCACCTGCCAATCAGACACGTTCGCAACCGCCTGAGCCATGTTGTACCTCCGGTGTTTCTAGCAGAATTTTCTATGGCGTTCCCAGAAGATGGTGCTTGCGCGATACCTTTGTCTAGGGCGAAAAAAAGGCCTGTATGGGGTACAGTGTCTTTGACTTCAGTGGATTTTAGACAGCTTTGTGTCTAGGTCAAGGGGTCATCTAGCAAACTCATCTGAGTAGTGTTTTTTTTGTGGTTGAACCTAGCAAGATTATATCCCTTATATAAAATACTATACCTCAAGAGGAGGATACAATCTTGCTCTATAATGGGTACCATAATATCCCCAAATAAAATACTAATCTGAGCCACTGTCTAAACTCCTAGTATCCACGTTAATAACCCCTATAGTAGTCCCCTATATCACCCCCTATATAATCCCCCTTTAAGGAATTTAGACTATAACTCATCTGAGCCATAGTCTTAACTCTTAGGTGGCATGGGTCCCTTCTTTCGGGGAGCAGTGGAGGAGCTGCAGGGTAGGATCCCATGGCCGAAAGAATCCCAAACCCACACCCTAAGGGTCCAAGGATTCAAATAATGGCGTATTAGGGCCCAAAATACTACAATCTGAATGGTATTTGGGACCTAAAGCCCTAACATTTGGGTCCTTGGACTCTTAGGGACATTCAACAAATTCCTGCAAGCCTGAACTCTAAACCACTGAACCCGTCAACCCTCAACAGTATGGGACACTACTGAAGCTGACCCCAGGGTTTCGTGTTCAAGGTGGTTAGGAGGGACTGAAGGAAAGGGTTTTAGAGACACTGCCTTATTGAGGCATTTATAGGGACTACTAGAGAGAACCGTCCTCCTACTAAGCTCTGAACCCGTCCCCATAAAAATTGGTAGTGTCAAGGTCCTTTTCCATTCCTCTCTGCTGCTCTTGGAAACAAGTTGATGAATAAGCTCGCCCCAAGGGGGCCCTAAGACTGAACTCAAGCAATAAAACAAGGCGGTAAGCCCCCAACACCCCCAAACTCCAGACCCAGGGCTGTGCCCTTTTTCCAGAAGTCTCGGCATCCGACAGGTACCCAACATGATGTCGAAAACTCTTGAACAATACCAAACAAATAGAGGGCACATCCTTGTCCAGATGTTCTTCGACTTCCCGACTAGCAGACCTTACAACGAGTTGTTGGGGCTAGGCGTGGTTTAGGATTAGGGACTCAGATTAGCTGGCTCAGGGGTTGGGGTTCATGGCTCTAGGTTTAGGGCCTTTTGGTCTGAGCTTGTTGTTTCTTGGTTTATAAGGGCTGGCAGTTGGAGTCTGACATCTCATTAGGGTGTTCCATGTTTGTAGGACCTACTTGGGTTGGAGAACTAATCAGCATCTACTTGGCAAGGGTAGTCAGGAGTCATCCTAAACCCCAAAGCAAATCTGTGAATCACATTAGTCCAGCTCAGCAGGGCTATCATGGATGATACTTCAGGTCATTCCACCTTACAGCAACAGTTACGACCGCAAAAAGTAGTAGAAGCTATCACAACTCCTCAATCAAGCCCGTTGAAGGACAAGGACAGTTACTGTGCGGCATATTCCCCAAATTGTACCCTGCATTCGCTGGAATAGCTCCGGTAAGCTTTGGCCTTGCGCTGCACACCCGGCAGCAGTATACCTTAATCCGAACCCCCTTAACCCTTGATGGTACGTTGTCGAACTATGGTCTTTCGTAGGTCCAGAACATTCCACGACCTCTATGATTTAAGGTGCCCAAACAGGGACCAAGAACTCTGACAACCTTCCATACAGCGTGCAGACCCGAAAGATGCATGCAACGCTTAAGGCTCTAAGGACTCAGATTTTGAGGCTTTTGGGCCCAAAGCCCATACTATACAAGGGTTTGGGGCTATTTTGAGCCTTAGAAACCCTAAACCCCAAGCCCTGCGCCTTAAACCCCAAACCCCAAACAACCCGAAACCATCTAAACCAGAATGTGCCAAGCAGCTTTCCACAGCAAGCACTCCTCCTCCGGCTTGGGCTGGAGGTGGTTGGGGCTAGAAGCGAAGAGTTTCGCCATGTTGGGGGAATTGAGGGGTTTAGGGTTTTGGGTTTAGGAGGTATATAGGGCCTAATGTAGGGATTGTGAAGGGGCATATAAGGCCAATACTGGAGAGTCAAATGGAATAGAAAATGGAAAACAAACAGGAAACTAGGATAATACCTAGGGATGAGGGACCCTTTTTGGGGTCCCTCTTCTGAGGAGTGCAACATATTGTGCCCTTTAACGAAGCCTGTTTTCGCAACCTCCGGGTTGCTATCATAGCACAAACGACTAGGAAAGGGATCAGAGAACGCCCCTTAATGACGCCCATGATACTCCCCTATTCAAGCTCTATATAACCACCCTAATTAAGGAGTTTATAATTAGGCTTTCGGAAGGGACAGCATCCCGTAGGTTCTCCAGTCAGCAGCCTGGTCCCCAAACCCGGGATAATGGAAAAGAAAATGGAAACTGCTAAAATGGGTTATATAGGGGTTAT